CTTTGCAACCATAAGGTCACCGGTTCGAATGCGCGTAGGGGTGGACGTCCTCGCGGTATACACAGCCCGCGCGCGACTGGTGGTGGTCGCGCGGCAGCTAGCGCCGTTACGGTGTACAGCTGACACATTATATTATCTATTATATTATTATGTGCCGTTCTATTGAGAAAAAGCCTGTTCCTTGGGCGATCAGCATACCACTGCTTACTCCGGCGTTCGGTCATCCGCCCGAAGCTTTCAGTGCCATCTAAACGGTGGACACAGAAGAAGCTTTAAAAAGAATGACAGCAAACGTAATCTGTCAGCTCACACTGCAAAAGTGGCAAAATTGCAAAAGCACTTGAAGATCTTCGCGTTTCGAAACACAAGCCAGTTGCCTGAGTGCAGTGTATGGAGCTGACCTGTATTTTGTCTCCCGGGCGTGGGCGGATTTCATCTGAGTGAGTAGGTTCGTAAGGGTGCAAAACAGGCATTAGAGCAGCAGAGGACGACCCGTCGACATCGGCCAGAACACTACTACTACAAGTCTGCGTAGGGGCCCAGCCAGGAAGCATAGGCTCCGTCAAGTGTGCAGATGTAATGGCGTAATATTCCTTCGGTCCGGCGTTCCAAGCTCTTCCGTGTCCAAGTAGTGCGGCAAGCTGCAATGCAAAATAAATACCTCGTAGACGGCTGTACGCTTGAGCCGCCTAGTAAGAGGCCGATGTAAAGGTGGCAGCTAAGGAAGCACGGAAAAGGGATATAAAATGCCGGAGTGAAATAGGAAGGTAAGGATAACAGGAAACGAAACCGAACGACCTCTTACCTGCTAACGTGACGCCCGCTACATTATCCCCCCTCTTAGCAGGCGCTGTCCTCAGCGCCCATAATGGCCTATACCGGCATCAATTTAAATATCTGCAAGAGGCATTGGGCAAGTTCAAGTTCAATTTGGACAGGAACGGTAGGAGAATTCCCATGTGTGTTCCTTCTTCAATGCGTCGTTGAACCAGGATGGAGTTCGCGGGAGCGGTTTGGAGCCGAGAGGAGCCAAATCAATACACACGAATCACATAACGGTCAACCAATCAATGCCCACGCGGCCTGCACTACCAGTCCCTACTGTACCGGCCACGTGAATAGAATAAAGGTTAAGAGAAGGGAACCAACAAAAACAAAATAATGGTAATTGTAGTACAGGAGAGAATGTGTGGTTAAGACAATAATAGTAATAGATGTGAGGAGCCAAGGAAATAGATGTAAAAGTTAAGAACTAAACGGAAAGGTCTGAAACTGTAACCCAAGGGCGTCGAGTCGATGTTCAAACTCCTTCACCGTTGGTGCTAACACTACTTCGCTGGGTAGTGCGTTCCATGAGTCGATGACCCTGCGTGACAACCGAACGTCAGCTCTAACGTGATCAGATCTAGGCTTATGCAACTTCAGAGGGTGACCACGAAGAGATGACATCTGAGCCGGCTGGAACAGTCCAGTTAGATCAGGCCCAATCTTGTTGGTCAATATACGGTACGTAAGAATCAGGTCTCCCCGAAGGCGCCTATAGTGCAACGAAAACATCTGCAACCTGAGCAGCCTATCGGGATACGAGAGATGCCTCAATCCTTGTACCATTTTCGTACCAACCCTCAGAACTCGTTCAAGTGTCATCTTATCGCGTACCAAGCATGGAGGACAGGCCTGCACGCAGTACTCCAAGTATGGCCTGACGAAGGCTGAGAACAATATAACGAACATTTCATTTGTTATAATGCCGAATGACCTGCGGATCATCCACAGCATTCGGAAACCCTTACGGGTAGCATTTGTCCAGTTCTCGCTGGATTTGAAGTCAGAGGATAACGAGATACCCAAGTCAGTTTGTTCAGTCACTTGACGCAATACAGTTCCGCCAAGTACGTAAGAAGTTGTGGGAGTGCTTGATCCTATGCGCAGGACCGAACACTTTGCAAGATTGACTGGCAGCTGCCACAATTCTGACCACTCCAAAAGCTTGTCCAGAGCTGTCTGTAAAGCCGTGGGCCCAACAGAACCGCTCACTGTATTCCAAAATTTTAAGTCATCCGCAAACATAAGGGATGGTATCTTAAGCTTCTCAGGGAGGTCATTGACATACAATGCAAACAGTAGAGGTCCGAGAACCGACCCTTGAGGAACACCACTCAGAACGGCTTGTCTGAAAGACAGCCCGGAACCCACTCGGACGCTCATCTGCCTTCCTTCCAGGAAAGCCGAAATCCACTTCAATACTTGGCCTGAAACGCCGTAGGATTCTAGTTTAAACAAAAGACGGCAATGCGGTACAGTGTCAAAGGCTTTAGAAAAGTCGATGAACAAAACATCCACCGCCTGTCCTTGGTCCACAGACTCAGCCCAGCACTCTCGGGCTACCAACATGTTAGTCAAACAGGAGTGGCCTCTGCGGAAACCATGTTGAGACGGGTTGAGCAAACTGAACTTAGCTAAGTGCTTTTCCAGAGCATCTCTTACAAGCTTCTCTAATACTTTCACCAGTACGCTTGTTAGGCTAACCGGTCTATAATTTTCAGGTAAGTGCTTATCACCCTTTTTGAAAATAGGGCACACGATAGCATCTCTCCAGTCAGCAGGTAGGGAGCAGCTACGAAGAGACTTCTCAAAGATGCACTTAATCGGTTTACACAGCAACCCAGCCAGCTCGTACAAAAGTTTGGGATGGAGGGCATCTATCCCGGCAGCTTTTGTGGGATTTAGGTCACGCAGGAGCTTGAGTACCTGAGCTTCCGAGATGGAAAGGTCCATCAGAAAGGAGTCTAAGGGTAACTTTGCTTGCAATTGGATATTAGGCAATGGAGATTCATGAACAAACGACCTAGCATACTGTTCTGCAAGTAAGCAGGCCTTGGCCTGATCGGTTGATACTTCAGTGCCGTCAGGTCCAAAGAGCACAGGGATAGGCGGATTTGCATTGCATCTCCGTTTGACATAGCCAAAGAACCGTTTCGGGTTTGTTGATGCAGATCGAGCTAGCGCTAGTTCATATCTCAAGCGTGCGGCCCGCAGATGTTGTTTACATGCATTTCGCACGCTTCGGTAGCGATGATGGGTACTTTCTGAGGGAGCTGATACGTAAGTCCTCCAACACCTGGATCGCCTACTGAGCATCCTGCGCGCCTCAGAGTCAAACCAAGGGGGCTTTGCCCCTACTTTACTCCTCGCTGAAATTGGAATGTGGGGGAGGGAAATCCCGCAAAGAAAGGATTTGAACTTGTCCCAAGCAACCTGGACGGTGTCATTCTCTGACATGATACAGAGTTGATTTGCAGCCTTGTCCCTGATGGCTTGAAAATCAGCGCGCCAGATATTTGGCCTTCTGACCATACACTCTTCACGTCCCCGACTTAAGGCGCATTTGAATAAGAGGCAGACGTGATCACTAGAGCCAAAGGAAGCAGCATACACTACATCTCGTACAAAGTCCAGCGATTTCGCAAAGATGAGGTCTAAAATGGAAGGCTTTTGGCACTCCATGAACCTAGTTGGGCTTTGTACTAACTGATGAAGGGATGCTTGTAAGGATAGGTCAAGGAGATCATTTGAAAAACGTCCAGTCGCCGCAGTGCAGAAATTGCGCCAATCCACCTCAGGAACATTAAAATCACCCATAACAAGACATCTATTTGTCGTATGAGTACGAATGAAATCAATGAGCGCTGAATATTAAGCTCGAGAGATTCAACGACAAGCAAAACGATAGAAGAAAGTTAGCTATTGCCTCAAGGGCTACAATCTAGCCTCGTGGACTGCTGTCAAGAACTGGCAGGGTTGCCAAATTTGTAACATTCCTCCGGTCCGGCGTTCTGAGCATTTCCGCGTCCAAGTAGTGCGACAAACTGCAATGCGAAAAAGTACCTCGTAGACGGCTGCACGCTCGAGCGGCCCAGTAAGAGGCCGATGTAAAGGTGGCAGCTAGGAAAGCACGGAAGAGGGAAGATAAATTGCCGGAGTGTAATAGGAAGGTAAGGATAAAAGGAAACGAAAGCGAACGACCTCTTACCTGCTAACTTGACGCCCGCTAAAATGGTACAACGTGCGAGGAACACGGGCGCGGTTGCGTGGTGACGCAGGTCCGTTGCCATTATTGAAATCAGATTCGGTTTTTCCACAATTATAAGACCATAATCCAAGGCAACTTTCGAAAAAATTATGCTCATGTATCCTAAGTTGTGGCTACGGTTATGGTTAAACTAAGGTATTGCGACGATTAGTTCCTCATCCATGAAATGATATATGCCAGCAACCAAAAAAATATTTTGCCGATACTAGATTAACTATAAAACGGCCTAACTCAACGTACTGTGTCTTGGTATACAAAGGTGTTATCAACTGTGATAAATATGGGGGTGCGTTCACCGGTCGGATTGGAACATGAATCCAAAATTTAAAGTTTCCGCCACCCGCGAACTTGACGAAGCCGAAAGGTTACCTGGGTGCGTCAGATTCGCGGATTTTGAAAGTCAGGTATATGGATGCGATGGAAATGTGGGTGAAGTTAGCGGCTGGATTAAGGTTATACCCTTTTTATCCTTCATTCAGAAGCATAAACCCTGTGTTTAATGAACATGTAGATGACTATGGAGCCGCCGATTACTTTATGGTTAGGGATTTACTAAGGTATTAGGGCTACCCTTGGATCATTTGACCATTACAATGTGGAAAGCGGAAGGAAAACTTGTAGCTCTATCGCCTCCCATTTGTCACAGGATTCGTTATGGAGGTTGAATGTCAATAACAATGGAACCGCTTCCAGGACACAATAAGCAACATGATCCAAGTTTACTGAGCGGGTTAGAGTCCAATTGCTGTTCGAAACATTCTCCGACGGCGCGTCAACAACATACACAGGTTGACTGTTCCACTCGCTTACTACGCTGGTAGAGTGAGGTCATAGCGAATCCGAAGTCTCCTTTGCTTAAGCATTTTCAATTAGTGACCACTAGTCGAACTTAAGGTATTGAATCATTGAATCATTGAATCATTGAATGATAGAGAGCAGAAGGAAGTTCCTTTGTCAGCTCCGTCACTTCCCGATCGTTTCGGAGATAGCCTGCGTCATTGCGGAACAAGGTCCCACAGAGAAGCACTGAAGCTGCATTGGAAACAGCTGGATCCCCGTAAACTAAAGTGAGAGTCCAATAAATGCTTGAAACGTTCCTCGGTCTCGGCAACGACGATGGACTCCGGAAGGCGGTTCCAGTCATTCACAACGCGAGTGGATAAAGCCAGGCTGGATCGCACTCGATCACTCCTCGGTTTGAACAGTTTCAAACTGTGGCCTCTTGTTGAACTCTCTGTGTTGAGATGAAAGAACTCCTGTAATTCCCTCCCCAACTCTCCTCTAAGAATACGTCGGGTGAAGATCAAATCTCCGCGATGACGACGGTAATCCAGGGAAAAGAGGTTCAGTTGTTTGAGTCGGAGAGAATAGGACAGGTCCCGCAGCTCAGCCACAGATTTGGATCCACGCCGTTGGACCTTTTCAATCATATCACATTCAAATTTCGTAAGAGGGTAGGCGGCAGGTAGCCCGTATTCCAGAAGCGGGCGTACATGTGAAGTAAACAGGAGTCGAAAGATTCCCGGGGTCAGGCGAGAGAAAGCTCTGCGTATAGAGTGAAACATCCTGTAGGCCGCAGCGACCTTTTTCTTGGTATCTTCATTAGATTTGAGGTCAGACGAAAGTACCACTCCCAGATCCCTCTCCTGAGTGGCGTTTCTGAGCAAGGAACCACCAATATGATAGATTCCAAATGGGACAGATGCACCAACTGGGAGAACTGAACACTTCTCATGATTCATTGGCAACTGCCACTTAATTGACCAATCATGTAGCAGGTCGAGTGTCGATTGCAACCTGTCAGCATCTTCCATACTGGATACCTCCATCCACAGCTTCAAGTCGTCAGCGTAGATTAGGCAATCCGCCTGGAGTGTTGACGGTAAGTCATTGATGAAGATGTTGAAAAGCACAGGGCCGAGGACCGAACCTTGTGGGACTCCACTAGTCATGAGAACAGGGGCGGAAAATGTATCGTTTACTTGCACCTGCATCGTGCGGTCGCGAAGGAAATCAGAGATCCAGGAGAGAAGATTCCCGGCAATACCGATTCCTCGGAGTTTAAGCAAAAGTCGTTCGTGCGGGACCCTGTCGAAAGCTTTGCTGAAATCCACAAACACAACGTCCAAGCGTTTGCCGGAATCTAGCGATTTCGCCCATTTCTCCTTAGCAACTAGTAAGTTCGAGGTACATGAGCGTGCCCTTCGAAAACCATGCTGTGCACAAGAGAAGAGATTCAGTTTCTCGAGGTAGAGATGAAGAGTCTGCTTCAAGATCCGCTCCATAACTTTACATAATATCGAGGTTAAGCAGATAGGACGATAGTTGGCTGGATCTTGCCTGTTCCCTCCTTTGTAAATGGGTTTTACAATGCCCACTTTCCAAGCCGACGGGAGACGCCCAGCTTCAAAAGAAAGACGGAAAACCTGACAGATAGGAGGGGCGATGTACTGCGCCACAATCCTAAGGAACAGGGGGTGCAAGCCATCAGGGCCGGGTGAAGAATGCGGATCTAAATCAAGGAGAAGTTTAACCACAGAATTGATGTTAATGTCTACTTGATCCAACTCATAAGGAAAACTGGACACAGTGTTGTCGCAGGCGGGAGTTTCTTTCGTGAAGACAGAGGCGTACTGCTGGGCCAAAAGACTGGCTTTATCAGCGTCTTCGTAAAGTAAATTTCGAGGTTCAAAGGAACACAAGGTGGGGATGCCACTGCCAGCCCTGGTACTTCTTTTTAGATAAGAGAAAAGCATTTTAGGTGTCGTTCTGGAATGTGCTGCTAATGATAGTTCATATTGCTGACGTTTCTGTCGCTTCAACGCGACACAAGCATTTCTGGTGGTCTTGTAGGAAGAGTAATCGAACTCTGTTTGAGATTGCCTAAAACGATCCCACAATTTGCGTCTTCTGTTTATCAGAGATCTCAATTCACTGTCAATCCAAGGTGGACCCCTCTTGAAGCACTTTCTACGGGAGAAAGGAACGACCTGCTCAATTAGAGAAGTCATTTTGGAGAGCACAAGGTTCCACGCATCATCAAGGGGAATGGGATCAGGAATACTCCAGTCCATAGCGCTTGCGGCTGTTCTCAGACGGAGAGGATCCGCTTGCCAAAAGTTCCGACGACAACCACCCTGGCTATGGATCGTGAGGCGACGTGTCCATTGGAATGAAACGACACAATGATCACTTTTGCCGATGGGTTGAAGAACTGTTAGGTTCGTGACATCTGACTGAGCTGGGGTGAGCACAAGGTCCAGAATGTTTGGCGTTTGGTCGGCAACAATGCGGGTTGGCATGGTGACGTGTTGAAACAAATTACAATCGATAACAGTCTCAAGTAAAGTAGCATCAAAAGAATCAGGTGGACGACCACAGAGAAGTAGGTCCCAGTCGATATTAGGGGCATTAAAATCCCCCACGATAAGACTGTCCTTTCCCGCGCAGTGCTTCCTGATCGAATTGAGCAAATGAACTCCGGATCCCGATGGCGCTCTGTAAACAACACCAATAGTGTAGGATCTGCATCCATCATGAATACGGCACCACAGGGCATCAAAATCACCGTCGTCGCCACTAGTAGCTGCAACCAAATGGGCCTTCAGTTCGGCCTTCCAGTAAAGTATAACGCCGCCACCGGGCCTACCTCCAAGGCGGTCGGCTCGACAAAGACTGTATCCGGGGATAGAAACCTCTGAATCTATGATGTCTGCAAAAAGCCAAGTTTCGGTAAAGGCCATCAAGTCTGGGCAAGTATCTGACGCAAGCATCTGTACCTCATCAAGTTTATTTCTCAGACTGCGTACATTGGCAACAATTACACGCAGTCCATTCTCGTGCTTTACTGTCCTGGGTTGAGGAGAATTGGCCTCCACCGGGTTCTCGGGGTTCTCCGGATTACGCGAAAATCCACAATGTGGAGGTCTGTCTCACCATTCGCTCGGCGGGACCGGAGCTCATCAACGGCTGTTTTCATCTTAATACGATCTTCCGGAGAAAGATCTCTCAGGACGTAAAAAGGCTCACCTTTCAAACGTGGGGTTCGTCGGAGGATGCGTCGGCATTCCTCTTCGCTTTGGCATACGATCTTGAGGGGGCGTACCTTGGAAGGATCCTCTTGCTTCCTGCCCAGGCGGAAGGCAGAGATAATGTTTATACCTAATTCACCTTCATCGAATAAGATGGAAATCATTCGTTCAAGGAACCCTTGGTCATCCAGCATCCTTTCTGCAGAGGTGTGCTTGGTGGATTCTGGGGCGTTCACAATGATAAGGCATCTTTCACGAGAGGGTGGAAGAGCGCGGCCAGAGATCTGAGGCTGTGGTGACGTACTGTCCTTGATCAACTTTTCCAACTCGTTGACTTTGTTGAGAACAGATTTCATTTGGGTCTGGGAATCAGTTTTCTTGGGTTTGGACTTGGACTTCGCCTGACCCACTGGGACAGAGAGAGTTTTCCTCACCACGGCAGCGTATGTCTCAGTCGTGGGCTCACTGGGCAAGGCATGTGTCAAAAGTTCTGATGAGGGAGCAGATGGGACACGGCTTCGTTTACCCGTGGGGGTAGCTGAGCCGGAATTGGGTGCGGACGAAAAAGGTAATGAAACAAGTGAGTCCAACGCAGTGGAAGTTTCGAACTTCGTTGGCGTAGAATGAGGGCTCAGGACTGGCAGTCCGGCGTGAAGGCGTCGACTGTTTAATGAAGTACGGCAGCTGCGACAGAAAACAGTGATAGCCGATGTAGTATATCGTTGCAGAGACTCATAGAGTTCAGGACAAATGTCGCAGCAGGCAATATGCAGCCATCCGTCACACTCAGAGCACTGTACGGCCTTGGAACGCGATGTCACACCTTTACTGCAACTCAGGCATTTTGACGTCATGGCTAACAACACGGATAGCTCTACTCACTCGATAAATCGAAAGCAAATCCTTCACAAAATCCGAGAACTTGGATAGGGCGTCGCTATTCACAGTCAGAGAGATGTTTGTTGATTGATGTATTGGATGGGAATAAACCCAGCCTTTCGACTCCCAGTTCACAGCTAACGATACATTGTGAGAAAAGCAAAACCGCGAGGTTTTGACGTTAAGCTAAGGTGAAAAACTTCAGGTGCTGAAGAGGAAGTGAGTAAGGCAGGCTTCGCAAATTCAGAATGGATTTAGATCCACTGCAATAAAATTTTTCACGGGTTTCACGGGTTTGCGCAGAACGAGTAAGCGTAGCTTTTCGGTGGTTCTGCCTCGGGATCTTACGGCAAGGTCCTGATCTCGTCGGTAGGTACCAGATGTCGTGATTCTCGACGCAGTAGTGGTGTTCAGCACAAGAATTCAGCGAGCTGACTGTGGGTTGTCTGAGAGTTGACTGCAGGTTAAAATAAAATTTGGTATAAGGCTAGCCGACAGGCAGTCCGTACTCCAGAATCGGGCATACCTATGCAGTAAACACGAGCCTGAACACTTCCAGGGTCGAGCGGGAGAAGGAAGGTCGTTTGGCCAGAAAGCCCCTTTTGGCGGAAGCGACATTCCTTAAGGTATCTTCATTTGATTGTAAGTCTGTGGTCACAAAGGCGTCAATCGCCCTCTCACCACAATAGTTTTGCAGCGAAACCAACCGATATCGTAAATTCTATATGGTTCAGACGCACCGATGAAAAGAAGTGAGCATTTATCGTGATTTATGGGTAATTAGCAACTAAGCGAAAATCAGGCAGAAGAACGGGCCATGTCCGTTTTCCATCAGCCACATCCACAGAAGAATTTTCTCATTAGCTTCAAATTATCAACGTAAATCTAACAACCTGCCTGTAGTACAGACGCCAGGTCAATAATAAAGACTAAAAATTTCGGGGCCAGGCGCACAATCTCGCGGAACACTGTTGGCCCTATTTAGAGAGATGGAATGAGGCTCACTTATTTCCACACAGAAAGCTCGACCATACAAGCCAACAGTATTCCAAGAGAGGATTTCCCTGAAACATCTATACTTCGCAGTTCGTTAAGCGAAATTTCATTTAGAATCTTGTCAAAAGCTTTATTGTTATCCACAAATACGACATCCAGCGATTTTCGGCATTATGGACTTAGCACACTTTTTTGAGCTATTAGAATGTTGGTGACACGTGAACGATAATGACGGAACGAAAGTTGCACAGCTAAAATGCGTTGAAGTGCTGAACAGGAAAACCAGAATCTCGCCTAAGAAGTCGCTCAAAGTACATGCAGACAAGGAATGATAGACAATGCGCAGATATTTGTAGGACCTTCTCTATTTCCTACCATGTAAATGGCGAAAAAAACTTAGGTTAACAGGACATGAGAAAAGTGAGGATCCCACGTTCCATCCATGAGTGCAGACCATGGGGATCGAAGGAATTTAATGGACGTGTATAACGCGATCTGACCACGAAGGCAGTTGCCGAAGTGCTGGAAAATGACCTCATACATGCAAAGAAGCGGCAAGTGCGGAAGCAGCAAGCACTGATGGGTTGTACTCCATCGACATCGAGCGCATGTTGCAAACTACAAGCGGTTGCGAGTGCCTGAGTCAGGCAGACCTAGTGAGCAAAGAACGAGGCCATTTGGCTCAACTACTAACCCGACGCTGCAATTGTAGGTACGCTGCATTCGTTTTACCAACCGCGTGCGTGCATGCTAAGTCTATGTATTTCAGGTGTTGGGCTTTCAATTTTGTACTAAAGCTTTTCTTTCTCATATAAGTGTCTACCTGCACTCGCTTCTATAAACTTGCACACGTCGCTTAAGCAAATTGTAGTCAATTTCGATAACATTTTCGTGTTTGTAGCATCTTCGGAAAATATACTTTCCTACCTCGTGAACTTATCTCGAATTCGTTCGTAAACAACTCGTTTCATATGCTCAATAATTTAAGATCCATATCACATGTTCCTTAGGCAGTACTCGATTTATTTTCTTTGGTATCTTTCGCTCAAGTGATTAGCCGTTGCTTAATATCCCCCTGTGACTGCGCTTGATGTGCATGTTGACAAGGTGCCTACCTGTCTATTACCAACTACCTCGTCCATACTGGCTCCAGCAGACATTTGGCCGTTGCTGAAGGGGTCCGGGTGCACGGTCCTTGTGGCCGTATTCGGATCGAAGCGTAGTTCCATGCACCCAGTGTGGAGCGGACTACGGTCCAGCCACCGCCTTGTGTGCGGTTGATTCCCCAAATACAGCGTGCTTGTGTTTGCCTGTGAAGGAGTGTGGGCCGGCTCCGTTGATGAAACGTGGCTCCCATACACCTGCCTCCCGGTTTTGTTCCTTCGGGTTTATGCTGGATATGGGGTGTGTGGATGGGGTTGCGTGTGGTGCGGCGCAAGCAACCAATGGTCCGTCTGTATGTGCAGGAGGCCTGTGGCTGGCCGCAGTGACAGGCAAAGCAGGAACCGGATGCCGCCAACCATTTGGGCTTGGTTGGCGGAAGGGGTTGTGGCGCTCTATTTGTTTTCGCGAAGTCTTGGCAATGGTTCTATTTGCTCGTGCTGCTGTTTTACTGCGATTGCTTCTCCTGGACATCTTCACCTGGCGACCACTGGGTGGGGTTTGGGTACGCCTTTCTTTCTGTTTATGTGTGGTACGCCCACTCCCATTCTACTTTTTGCTGACCTTCTGCCCGACCCGCTACCTGTCGGGAGTATATTTTATCAAAATCTCTGTCTGAGTGCCCGAGCCATTCTCCTCTCAGGTGTGCGCGATCTTTCAGTATCCTATACCATCCTCTTCGAAGTTTAGAGGGTAGTCGATGACCCACTTCCCGTAAAACCTAACTGTGGAAGACAACAGATCTACAGGTTCTAAGCTCATAGAATGATTTGCGTGGAGCGGGAGCGCCATGCATTTTCTCTAACGGAGCGCCAGCACCTCCGGGTGCTCAACTGGTTGCTACCGCCTGCCGCAAGCAAGACAGCCCCTGTCAAATTAGAGCAAATCCGGCAAAATCCACATGCTTCTGTCCGTCGTCGCAGGTGCGTATCCTACTGCTGCAACAAATTATATATGAATAGTTCCAGATCATTAAAGGCTAGGTGGGACGGACCTCAAGGAGGTCCCGATCTCTCTCCACGACCACATTCCTTGGCTGGATCTGCACCCACTGCCTTATGCGTCAGGCTATGGAGCCAAGAGCTCCGGAAGGAGTCCCTCAAGCAAATCTCCAAAGCATCCACTGCCTGGTTGGCCAGGCTATTGAGGCTAAGGCTCCGGACGGTGTCCCTCAACCAAACCTCCGAACCACAACGGCCACCTCGGGTGCGATTTTTCACCAGTGCAATCGCATGCCTGCAAGCAAAGCACACAGCATCGGGTGCTGATACGTGCGCACCCTACTGGACCGGGATTTGTGTGAGAGCCCAAACCGATGCACTGCATTGGTCAGGATGAAACTGGCGCGCTGCAACATCGATATTGCGGCGTTTAATTTAGACTGCTGGCGAAGCGAAGTGAGGTGCATGAGGTATGCGTAGGCTAGACGTTCTACTGCGTGCACAACGTTCACCTGGGTCAGCTTTGCAATATCCGATGACCTCCATGGCCAGCTGGTGGGTGTACCAACTGGGACCAGCGCGCGACTTACCGCCGCTCGTCTGCGACTCAGCAAAAAGTAATTTTGCCACTTTTATACCCACACACTACCCAAGCGTGCCTTATCATGGTGAGATGCGTACTTCATACTACCCGCATCCTCCACGATATGTTCTGTGCCAAAGAACGATCGACCATTGCTTCTGGGTAATTTCCTCGCGCGCGTTGGGCTCCATGCATTGGTGTGGACAGATGTTATCGATCCACAATGCGCTGGTTCAGCCAATGCGTACGGTGACAAACTGCGCTCACTGTGTGCTATTCACGGCTGACGATCACCACTACTCGGGTTGCACTGAGTGCGACTGGTATAGTGGTTTGGACGAAGCCACGGAGTGGTCACGCTCACCTGCTCGACTATGTCATCGTACGTCAACGTGATATGCTTGAAGTGCACATGACACGTGTACTGCGTGGAGCAGAGTGTGGCGCTGATCACAACTTGGTGTGGACCGTGTTGTACAAATAGTTTCGTAAACTTCTGTGTCGCACGCTCGCTGTGAATCATCGTAAACGCAACATCCTGTCCCTGTATACTGTGTCGAAAGGTACTGAGATTTAGATGGTGATGGCTGCACGGCTGTGAGGGTATGCACATCCACAGTGGGTGGCTGTTGCACCACATACGCTACGTGTGGCATCTGCTTCTGAGTGGTCTTTTGAGGGCGCAAACTGCAAGCGGCCTAGCTGCTACTTAAAAACAGAGCGACGATTGGCGCATGGATGTGTGAGAAGAATGAAGCGTTTGCTGCCAACGTGGCAGACTCAACTGACTTGGGCAAGCATAGTCAGTAGCGTAGACATCGATCGCGGCCGACCCGCCATCTCCGTTGCACAAAGATGCATGGTGGACATAAAAAAGGAAGCAGATAGGGTGCTACGCCGAGCACTGCTAACACAAGGAATCTTTTGGCACTGTGATTGCAGGGAATGGACCTAGACTGGAGCCGCTGGAGGCGCTAATCCATGGTGGCCCAGGGGCCAATCGTATACCGACTGCAGATATATTGCAGCTCTGACGAAGCTACTATGGCTGTCTTTGTTAAAACCGTGCAGAGATTGACTGGTTTAGGTTGAACATCCTTAAGTAGCACAAGGTTAGGAGGTGTCCGGCGGAGAAGCCGCCACTGGACGAGACGCAGATAGAAGTTACTCATCTGCGAACCTGCAAGTGTGCCGGTGCCGCCGGGACCTCGCCAGAAGTAGCGAAACAAGCCGGACCCGGGTTGCTGACTGCGCTGCACACATTGGTGGAACGCGTGTGGTTTGGTTATAGGTGTCACTTGAGCTGAATGAGGTGCTTTTGCCACCAAGGTACAAGGGCAAATGAAGCAAGTATGTGCCACCAATTATATTAGTACCAACTCGCGGAGT